GGCGGTTGAAGGCATTTCAAGCTAGGAAAGGCCAGGCCAGTATCCGTGTGCGGCATACTCTGATTACGCGTCCGTCCGCATGAACCAGTCCTTCCACGGTGGCATTGGTCGAGGGCTTGGACTGAATGTGGACGTTGCCAAGAGGTTATTCATTTTGGGTCCTGTCTCCGTCTTGACCTGCTATCCGAGCTGGTGCGAGTCTTCCTGAGCCCTCTTGTCAGTGGACCAGATGACCGAGAGACTTCTTCAGTGCCAGCGCCAAATCAGGACAACGAAGGAACCCCGAGCATAGGCATGGTGGACTAATGATATCGGACAAGGAATTTGCAGCAGCAAACTCAGCTCTTCCGATAAGCTCTCATGACATATTATTATTGCAAAGTATGCTTGCTCACCACTGACTTCAATCATTATTACTGACTTGGCGCAGACAGTCTCTGGCGGGCAACATGCAGCTGCAGGTTGTCCGTCCGGTCCTTTCTCGAAACCTGCGACAAGAGATGAAAGAACACACCTCGAATGTGAACGTCGCCAACATTTCCTTCTGGAAGGGCAACATGCAGCCACGCTTGTTCGTCTGTCAAATAGCAAGGGAGAGTCGAGGAAGAGATGGAAGAGCACATCCTGAATACTCAGGCCGAGGACTTGGACTGAATGTGGGCGTCGCCAACACTGCCTTCTGGAAGGGCAACATGCAGTTGCGTTTGTTCGCCCGTTTTTGCAAACTTCAACAACAACATCTCCTTACGGCCATTTCTAAGCAAGGCAGCCCCGAGTTTCGAGAGGCCGCAAAGCTTTCACGCAACGCCCAGCTGACCAAGTCACCCAGACGCACCCCAGAGCCAGCATGATCAAGCACACTCAATCCCGAAATCTTAGACCAGACTGGGGGTCACGAGAAACAACGCGCCACGTGGAAAGCAACGGTATTTCGACATTTCACGATGCCGTCTAGAGGGCAAGCTCCCCTTTCACCCTTCCTCCAAGACCTCTGCAGCGACAACCCCGAGTCGAAACCTCCGAGAGTGCGTGCAAGGAGCTTGTCGAAGAGACTGAACACACCTGTTTACCAGGGACTACAGATTGATGATCCAAATTTGGGGAGACTGTCGGTCTTGACCCAGACGGCTTAGACTGTTGGGAGCCTCGTGGATACTTCCTGTCCTCGTCAAGGGCGAAACCTGTCTACGGCTCATGCGTGGCAACACACACCACAACATCACATTGGAATGAAACCTATTTTGTCTTCGCCGTGAGCGCAACTTCTCTTCACCCGGCCATCTAGGGAACCTGGATGGTCCGGGTCCAAAAATTGCCTTTGGTCTGGGTCAAAGCCCTTTCGACCCCGTTCTTACCGGGGCATCTGGATGGGTGGACAACGCATTCGCCTCTCATTCTGCTCTCGGGGCATGGATTTGCCTCAAAACAGACAAGCCTCATGGCAGAATCGGCACCGGCATGTCATTTTCTCGGGCCCTCCTATCCATTTAGGAAGGGCGAAAGCCCTTTCTACACTGCGACTGTTGAAGTCGATGAGAAAAATGCAGAGCTCCATGCGGAGGTAGCTCGACTTCAGAAGGAGGTCCCCAATCAAGGCTAGGCGTCGGGCTCTAACTATCTTCTCGGCCTCCAAGTAAGCCTTCAATTAACCTCTTGAGGACTGAGATCTTGTCACCCATACTTTAGCATCTATGGATACCGCGGGCCCTTGAATACAGATGGACGAACGGACGCCTTCACGTCATCAAATTACAAAATGTGAGAGGCTGGAATTATCGAGGAGCGACACCTTGAAGAGTACAAGAAGAAGTTGGATGGGTCTCAGCAGAGCGTCAGGCCTCTTGATGAAGCCAGCTCTTACGTTGCTTCCGGCTCAGCTTCGTCTCATCAGACGTTATGATTGACGCTAGGAAACAATTTGAGCACCTTCACGACGCCTATGGTCCCTCTCGCGTTTGCCCAAGCCAGCACTTTACACACCCTGCAACGTCAGGTTCTCGACAAAACGCAACGCATCAAGGAGATTCAATGGCGGTGCGTTGCCAGCTCGAATCCGGAGCGTCTGGTCTTCGCGAAAAAAATGATTTAGACAATTTCCACAAGAACTAGCGGAATACTTGCGACTATGGGCAGCAGGCGAGGTGATTGATCACCTGCAGCGCTTGCGCCTCATTCGAGGACTCTCCTTACGGCTCTTCGTAGCATTTCACAGCCTTCGGTAATGCCTCAAGACTATTCAAACTATTTTGGTACGTTCTCCATGCCTCCGTCATCTGTCTCCTCATTTGTCGACGGCGTTGCTTCCGCCAGGCAATGCATAGCTGACTTTGCAAAGTTCGCAGACGCTCTCATCAACGACTTATACCAAGGGGTCAAGCTGCACGGATGTTTCGAACTCTCGGCATTCACGCATCAAGACCTTTTTAAAAGTTCTCGATGATGAGACAGGCTGCACTCAAAGGCAAGTTATACAATTTAGTGTTGAGATCAAACAAAGGTTTGAACAATCAGCCAACAACAATAACAGCACTACTGAGTACCACCTTTCGAATACGTTTCTCATCTTCACTTCCGCCCAAACACATACATGCTGGATGATTCTACACGGCCTGTGATGAAGCAATCTGCGTTTGTGACACCCTCCCCCTCCTCTTCTGTCATCATCAGCTAACCACGAGAATCACCAGAATTCGAAATGTTTTCCGACATGGGCCTCTCGAGGGGCAACGATAGAGGAGGTGGCTTGGTACCCATGATCCAAGTTCGCAATATTCAGGAACTGTGGTGACGAATGCAACCTGCGGATTCATTTCGACGAACTCTCTTTCCCCAATTTTCTGGCATAGCAGTTGCCGCGTCATGGGCCCGTTGCCGTTTGGTGTGCAGGGCCATCGGTAACGGCGCGCTGAGATCAATTCTCATTACGGAGATCAAATGCCAGATTGCATCTGAAATTCAACGTACTGCTGTTGCGATGAAGGGAATCCCGCCATCAAATTTGTTTCAACAACAAAGTACCAAAAAAGTTTGAAAAGATCCAGGAAACATCAGTACACCAAACAATTCCTGCGGGGGCTGCCCCGGTAGCAGCCCCCGCGTCAAGGGCCCGTTGCCTCTGGGCTTGCACCCCACGGGGTAATGGGCCAATTTCAGCAACATTGTTCTCGTCTTTTTCCGGGCTCGTCCTTTTCCGGGCCGCCATACTTTCTGTGTTTTGGTTAATTGGGGGTGGGCAGCTCACCCTTCACGCCATGGGGGAGGAGAGCTCAACCTTCGCGCCATTGTCTCTGTGTGTCTCCGCGGTCACTGGAGAGATCAGGATTCCTCTCAACATGGTTAAAGGGCGTCCGCTACCGTGACCTCGCGATCACTGGAGAGATCATGAAGCCCATTGATAAGGCCTGCGGGCCACGTCAATATGCAGATATCGGAGAGTCGATTCGCCGACGAATTTCCTTCGAGGCGGGCTTCCCTCATGTGAAGCCCGCCTCTTGTCGGCGTCGCGCCTCGCCGCGACCGCAACGGCCCGTCTTTCGCCTGGAGCGGTCGATGCGTTCGCATGGGACATCAACGGTCCCTTCTTCTGATCTGATCGGCCCATGGTCGTGGGTTGGCCGCCCGAGGAGATTCAAACTCAGAACATGTCTCGGCGACATGATGGGATGCATCATGGGAAGCGCTGCTGGGTCCACGATGTTGGTAAGTCGACTCCGCTGCTTTCTTTCCTCGTCTTCGAAGCTTACCTTATCGTTCTCTTCAGGGTTGCCGCCGAGTCCCCGAAACAGCTCATGGGAAAGAGCACAAACATGCAAACAGAATGTCCGCAGTCCAAGACATTGGGGGCAAGTTCTCCCCTTTTCCTTCTTCCTGGCTCAGGACACAGCTTCTTTCATCCATGCGGAGCCACTGCTAACTTGTCTTTGTAGTGTGTGTGCTCTTTCTTCAATGGAGAGCAGCGTTGGCATTCGTTATGACGGCCTGTACGATGTTGTTGGTCGCGAGACAGCTCTGAAGAACGAGGTTGGCAATTATTCCAGATTCGAGCTCCACCGTCGCGATGGTCGAGGACAGTTTACGTATCGAAATCCACATCACGCGATACTAGTACGGGTACTTGAGAATACGCACAGAGGCACTTGGGAAGGGTCAATCTCAAAAGGTCGGAGGAGATGGCATTGGATTGGTTGATGACGGGTGTCGATTATCCAAGGAACTCATACCTACCTAGTTGTCATGGACGGTTCGTGTACGATGGATTACCTGGTCTGCTTGACAAACGAATCGAAACCCTGAAAGCATTTGTGTCCAGTACCATGCACACCTGCGCAGAGAGTCAGATCGTGAATCACTTGCTTGCTCAAGTACGCCGATCGTTGGCATTTACTCATTGTAGAACTCCTGCCGAGGCAAGTGCCCGAGACTCTATGGCAATCGCCGGGACAAATTGTACTGACTGAAGAAGCCACTCAAGCCGATCCTGGCTTTGGGCTTCCCCAATATCCCACGTGTGTTTCCTTGGCTGGCAGATGCCAAGCTACCGCGATGTTACGTTCACGCCGGTACCTTGCATGGAGTCATGAGGCAGCCTTGGCAACTAGAGCGACGTCCGCTTTCCGAGAAGTCGGTCGCAGTGGTTCCAGCGAGAGGACGGCAACAGCCCATGGGGCTTCAGAAGTGCGGAAGTCAACTTCCCCAGTGCAATTCCTTTGATTTTGCCAAGAGGTGCACTTCCCTAACAACGTTGAGCTTCGAGAAGAATCATCACCAGGTTCGCTATGCACCAGCGAGACATTCTCATCATTTAGGCGAAAACTTCTGGACTCGAAGACAACAGTCACGCATGATGGGCAGGTGAATCAAATAAGAGACGGCCTTGGCACGAAACATCCCATCGTTTCAGTCGTCAGATTAAACTCTAAAGTTCTGTCTAAGATAACCTTAGTCGGAACATTTTTCTAGACCACCCTCCCACGGGAAAGTCTCCGCACCCCAACCTTCTCCTACTGACTACACCTCGAATCAGCATCCTTGCCGAAATCCTTGCAGACCTCCCGGCCGAGAGCCTTGATCCCCTCGACAACCCACAGCCGGTAGTTGGAAAACACAAACACCTTGCCGGGCGCGAACGCAAAGTTGTTCGACACCTCGCCAATGTGGATCTTGCCCAGCAACACGCCCTCGGGGTTCCACACGTGCACGCCGTCGCCGCAGCCAGCCCACACATTGCCGTCCGTGTCGGTGTGCACACCATCCGGGAAGCCAGAATCAGCATACGCGAACATGCGCTTGTTGGCCAGCCGCTTGCCGTCCACAATGTCGAACGCGTAGATGGTCGCCGGGCCCGTCAGGTTCGCCGTGTACTCCTGCGCGCCCGTGTCGGAGACGTACAGCGTCTTGTAGTCGGGCGAGAACTCGAGCCCGTTGGGCTGCCGGAAGCCGTCCGCGACGACCTGCACGGCGCCCGTCGCGGGCGAGAAGCGGTACACCTGCGTCGGCAGCTGCGAGGCCGGACGGAAGTGCTGGAACAGGCCGTACTCGGCGTCGGTGAACCACAGGTCGCCCGTGCCGGGGTGCTGACGCACGTCGTTGACGGAGGAGAAGTTGCGCCCGTTGAAGCCGACGAGCAGCGGCTGCGACTTGTTCGTGTTGACGTCGACGGCGAGCAGCTGGGAGTAGGATGCGAAGTCGCCCTCGTCGCACCACACCTGCATGGGCGGCGTGGCGGAGGTGTCGGCGCCGGGCGGGTAGTAGGAGGTGCCGCCGTTGGCCTCGGCGAGGTTGGTGAGCTGGGTGCTGGTGATGGAGAGGTCGTCGAGGGAGAGGACGGTGATGTTGATGTTGTCGGCGAGGGACTGGTAGTTTGAGGAGATGTAGAGCGAGTTGTCCTTCTTGTTGTAGATGCCGCCCTCGTGGAAGGCCTGCCAGGGCAGGTCGGCGATCTTGCGGGCGGTGGCGTTGGCGCCGACGACGTCCGCGAAGGCCGGCTCGTAGGCGAGCAGCGAGATGGCCGGGGTGGAGAGGTTGGCGGCGTTGATGGAGGCGAGGTAGCCCGCGCCGCCGACGGCGAGGGCGTTGAGGTCCACGTTGACGAGAGACATGGTGGCGGCCTGGAACCAGAGGGCGATCTGCTGGAGGGAAGGGATGTTGCTGCTGGAGAGGCCGATGCCTTCGAAGAACTGGGAGAAGCCGTACCGGGAACCCTCGGCGGCGGAAGAAGAAGCAGCAGCAGCAGTGGTGTCGGTCGTGGCGGCAGCAGAGGACGCGGGATGGGAAGCTTCCTCTTTATGCTCCCGGTCACCGGCCAGGTTCAACTGCTCCGTATCCATCCGGGTGAGAAGCACCCTGCTCAAAACACTGCAGGCAGTCTCCGTCTGTGGAAACGCAATGACGTTTGAATGGGACGTCAGGCCGTTGGTGGCTCTTGTTAGCGGCGGCCGGTAAGATGGTGATGGGCGCACGCGCGGAGTCAAGGGCCGGGCTAGCTTTGTAGGGGATCGGAGACAGCAGCAACAAGCCAATATCTTGTTTGTGTCTTGGCCATGTTACCCCGCAGAGAATGTTTCTCTGCCTCTCTTTCTCCCCACAATCGGGGCCAAGACCCTTGTCCGGCACTCGACACCCATCGCGGAGAGAAGTCCGGCTTCGGAGCAGGTGGGGCTCCACGGTGCCATTGCATTTGGAGGTGCGGACAATGAGCGGACGTTTTCTTTTCCTTCCTCATATCTTGGGCCCCCTCGAACCCGTTGTCCGGCAGTTACACGCGCAGCCTCCCTCATCTGAGTCAGTGCGAGCTGCACGATGTTGGAGAAGGGCAAGACAGGAAAGTCGGGCAAGGAATGTGGAGGCGGAGATTTTGCTGCTCATGAACAGGGGGGCAGATCTTGGACAAAGTGCGGAGATGATGCAACTCTAACCCCACAACCAGACGACTTGACAAGCAGCTGCTTGGAACGCCCCTCTTGCTCGGCATTGGTGCATGGCAACTAAGCATAACTGTGTCTTCGCTGTGGTTTCTTTGTTCATCTCAAGTCATTTGAGCGTGTTTAAACCGTTGGGTTGAGGGGATGGCAGCTAAGCACACTGGATGATATGCTACATCGGGTCGTGGTGACCATAGAATGAGCGACCCATTGAGAAGTCTTTCTTCAAAATACCTATGTGACTGTATCCAAAGAAGCAAGCCTGGGCTATTTGAGCAGCTTGCACAAGTAATTTTTCGTTGTATAAAATTCAGAAGAATGAGAAGAATAGGTGAGCAAAGGACTGTCGCGATTTCATTGAGACCCCTCTCAACGTTCCAGTTCCGTGCCGGAACCCCAAAGTCCGTCAGCCACAAGTTCCCCGGTGTGCCACAGCGTGGCGCTAACTGCAGGCGGCTGAAAGTGTGGCTGTGGGGAACGTGGCTCAGGCATTATCTTTAGGTTTGGCCTCAAAGCACCCGGATGAGGGGCCTCATTTCCACGAAGTCTATCAGCCGATGGAGCCACCCCGAAAACCTTGGGTTGGCCTGATAAAACTCAGAGAAAGTCATCAATGTGGTTGTGGCTGGATGGCTGACTATGTATCTGGCTCATACAAAGTCTCCGCCCGTCCCGATTGAGTCTCTGCCTAGGCATCGGTTCCTTTCGCTTCACATCACCTCATCAACCCACCAAAACGATGCGACCCGTCAGTCTGTTTGTGCTTCCTCGCGAGCTTCGGGCCCTCAGCATTCTATGTCAGCATCGATGGCGGCTACGTTTGCGACACTGAGAGCTTCATCCGAGGAAAGCTGAAAGGAGCAAAAGGAGACCGCATCCACCTGTCCCTCGTCTACACCTGCAAGCGCGTCGCGGAAGAGATGGACCGCGGCGGTCTTTCCTTGCGCCTGAATACCATCACTTTCTCGCCCATCTCCGAAGAGTCACTCGGCTGGCTCGCCGGCAGCTTCCAGAGGAAGAAGGACGCCTTGGATCGCACAAGGTTGGCAATGCTTCAAACCGTGGGGTACTGCATCCTGGACGCCGTTTACTCTGAGATGGCAACGGCATATCCGCGACTTCTGCCTTTGCTGGACCGCCTGAAGCGAAAAGGGCGTCGGTCGTCACTTGAGGCCACGCTGTTGGCCATGGAACGCCGCGGACCCTACGGCGAAGCTCCTTCGGTCTACCGCGAGTTCGTCAAGGACGTCCTCCAGAAGTCGTCAACCTGCGATAGCAAATTCCAAGATGCCGTGCGCAATTACTGGCCCGAGGTCGTTGAAAGGACGCCGGATCGACGTGTATGGAATCCTTTTTCCATTGTATACAGCACTATCGAGCCCTGGACGATACCATCCGATACGCAGATGCGCAGGCTAGAATCAGAGCTACCCGTGTACCAGAGTCATCGCGTTTGTTTGGAAGCCGATCGCTCGATCTACCGCTTCTCGGCTGCTGCGGCGGCCATCTACTTTTTGGAAGCCATCCCCCACGAGAACCGCACCCACCTCCGGAAAATCATCCTCGACGAGAAGAATGAAGCTGTTTCGAACCCGGAGTGCCATGCCCGAGGCCTCATACCTTTCTGTCAGGAATACCCTCTTCTCCGAATCGAACGACGTGTTTCGCTATGGAGGAACATCTTCCAAGAAGACGTCAACTACCTTGATCCAGAACGGCGATGTGTGCTCAAAGATCGACCTACTCCTGCCTTTCTCAACTCGGACCAAATCACAGGCAACGTAGCGTCTTGGATTGTAGAAGCCATGGCGCTGGTCCCTGCTGGCATGCCCGCGAAATCCTTCTCCCTCCTTCTAGACGGAGACCCTGCCCCGACGCTGTGCTCCGAGATGTTCCAGTGTATCGTTCAGCGAGATGTTGCCTGGCAGCTGGCCTGGGATATGTCTTTGAAGAAAAAGTTGCTACCTGAAATCACATGGTTTGAGAAGAAGGGCGAATCTGTTATCAGGGACGGACATTACACAAACACCGATGTCCACCAGCATCAGAGATTTCCAAGTTTACGAAAAGGGTTCTGGGGATATTTCTTCGAGGACTTTCCGCAGGGCTTCAGCAACATTGGGAAAGAATCGTTCCCTGTGCACTGCAACTTCGATACCGGCATTGCTTGCGATGTCGAGGACATAGTCATGCAGCATGGCCGGTGGGATATGCGCAAGTGGGAGCAAGAATGGTTCCGACACCAGCCACCGTGGTGGGAAACAGCACCACCCCTGCCGGAGTGGATGGCTCTTTTGGAAGAAAATGTCATGGAAGACATGAAATACATGCCATATTTGAAGCGTATGAATGGATTGTTGGCATAGAGTAATGGGGAGGGAATCGGTGAGTGGCCCTCTCATGCTTTTCACAGAGCACATCGTAGGGCGCATGGGTAGTAGCTTCATGTAATCAAGGTAATGTACGTGAATCAAAAAGCCGAAGGTGAGTGAGCAGACTTGACGTTGAAACCGCCTTGAATTCTCTCCAGCAAGTGGCAACAATCCTGGTGACATTCTTTCGTGAAGCAATTGCAATATCTCAAGCCATAGCCACGTCCATGATGGCAATGCAAAAGGCAAGAGGAGGAGAATTTTCTCTCTGGAAAAAGTTGGACAGGCTATCACCGGCTTAATATGTATTGGGTGATATAAACTATCGCAACCTGAGAAGGAGCAGCAGATGGGAGAGAAATCGAATCATTCGTCATGCAATTTTCCGTCCGTTCTACACCGCAGCGAAGGCCAAACTTAAAGGATGAGAAGTAGTCAAGGCAATGTTTATCGCCATGGACTTACTGCCATAGATGGAATATACTGAGTTCCTCTTCCCAAGAAGAACTTTTCCCACCACTCAGTGGATCAGATTGTGAGGCAGGAGCCATTATTAAGCGAGAGATGTGACGTCAGTGTAACCGTGGTGATGTCTTTCAGCAGCAGCTCAGCCATGCTGCCTTTCACCCACCCGCCCTTTGCTGCCTGAACCACCACCACCCACCGACTCTCTGAATCTAACAAGAGGTCACCCGACTTACTTCCTTCCTTCTCTTTCTTGATCACCACGCTAGTCCGCGCACAAAACTGAATTGAATCAAAACAAAAAAGAAGCTGAACCGAAGACAAGCGAGACGAAATCCTGCCCAGCCCTCCGCCCTGCCGCCCTTCGACCTATACCCTCTCTCTCAGACGACGCATCCTCTAACCTTTCTCTTCTTCCTTCTCACCCACACACAAACCTTTCACCTTTCTCTTTCACACACCACAACAACCACTTCCTTCAACCACTACCACAAAAAACAACCATCACCACTTCAACCTTTCACAACTTCACCCTTCAACCAAGCCAAACCCCCTTCACAACCAGTCAAGATGAACGTAAGTTTTTATCCCACTCTCCATTCTCACCTCTTCACACAATCTCACAATCTCTCTAGGGTTTCACTGCCACCGCCATCCTCGCCTTCACCGCCACCATGGCCAACCTCGTCGCTGGCGCTCCCGCCATCGAGGCCAACGGCACCCGCCGCAAGCTCACTACTACCTCGATCCCCACTGTCACCGACACCACTTCCACTTCCACCTACTCCTACTCCTGGCCCACTGAGAACTGGCCCACTGGTCTCCCCATCCCCGTCCTGACCACCATCCGCCCCGAGGAGCCCACCTTCACCCCCACTCAGGTGCAGTCGTACAGCACCGTCCTCCACACCCGCAAGAAGCTTCCCCAGACTACCTCCACCGCCGACGTTGACGTCGACATTGAGTACGTCACCGTCACCCAGGTCGTCGAAGTCCCCGTCACCACCGTTGGCGTCTAAGCTTTTTTTTCACACAAGCATGGTCTGGTATTTGGGAACTTTCTCAATTTGGCAGGTGTTTTCAAGGATAGGGCAAGGAACATTGGGAAACGCAAGGATTTGGTAACAATACCCCGGATTTGGCTTTTGGCGTTGCGCGGAGGGCTGGAACACATGGGCTTTGGTCTTTCTTTCACTTTTCTTCTTTCTTGGGGATGGGAAACACTTGGCACCCTCTTGGAAGGGCTGGACATGCAGCATGGGTTTGGCTTTGGGATTAGGCATACGAGATTCTGCAGCTGAGGCTGCAAAGACACAATGAGATCACTCTGACATACACTTCTTGACCACCTTTGTGATGCTTTGTGACTGTGGATGCTTTCTGTTCATGATTTTGTGAATGTGTTTGTTCTGCTGCCTTCTTGTCTCGCCGCTTTGTTGCCCTTTGAGACCATGTTCTGTGAGGAAGTCGCGATCGGGAAGTTGTGATGCAATTTATTTTGGTAGATCTACGCTGCTTGCTACTACAGCCTCATCAGTCATCCGCAGATTCTTCTACCTCATACTGCGAAGTTTACTAAGGCTTTCCATGTACCATCACTATCTAGCGACCTGGATTCTTTCTCATAAAATTCGTCGGATTTGTGCTGTCTGGGACACATCTGTAGAAGAGCAAAGCCACCGTCGTCGCATCGTCTGGTGACAAGTAGGCGCAGCGAGCCTGTTTCCTGGGCTCAATGGCGTCAACACGACGGTCGCCATTTTCCGGAACAATTTATCCTCGTAAATGATGGTGGGTGAAGCCTTCCAGAAGCGATTAGACGAAACGACAGGTCGACGATGTTATCGTAGACTTTGACACCGTAGCTGCCACCGCTGTGAATGAGGTCTGCGACGTACTCGTCGACTCGACGAAACATCCGCGGGGAACTTCGTTCGGCAGTACGCAACGGTCGGTCGCTTGCTCTCCCTTAAACGGTACATGCTTATCGCGGTAGTTACTCGGCGAGGAAGGCACGGCTGGCGACACAGCCTGAAGCTGCGCTTGATGGCATTCGATGGCTGATGAGCGGGAGACGAAGATGATCGTAATGATTCTGAGGTGAACTTCGTTTTGGTAGCGGAAGACGTGTCTCCTACGGTGTCGAGCAGGCCCTGTGATGGGCTTCACATGAGGGTAGTTGTCGACTCTTGTAGTGCGCGAAGGACGCAATTTTGGCGCCTGCGAAAAGTTAGCTGATTTGTATTGCGTGTGTGGGCGGTACTGTATGACAGGCGCGATGCTCATGCTTACCTCCTTTTCACTGACGGATTAGCTCATGGCTCGGTGACAACAGCTCTGCCCTGTACTGGACCGCGGCACGCCTCCAACCATGTGGCTGTCTATGGTGCTCTACCTGGCCAATCGTCGAGGGACGGGTTCGAAGGCCCTGTGCATGATGTAGTGCCCAATGCCGATCTCACGCAGTGCTGAACATGTCCCACAAACTCGGAAACAACTCGTCAATATCCGGAACACTCGTGGACACGAACTCCTGAAGCTCAGGCATGTCGACGGGCTGCTCAGCAATGCTCGCGGTCGCAGTCGATGAAGCAAGCTTCTCGATAACCTCAGAGTACTGCGCGATGCAAAGATCGCCGAGATCCCAGGCCCTTTGTCGGTGCGTCTGCAGCGCGGACATCAGGTCGCGCGCCAGCTTCAAGGACATGCTTTGGGCCAGACCGCTGACGGTGTTCTCTGTCTCGAGCGCGCAGCGAAGCAGGAACTTTGTCGTCGACGTGAAGGCGAACGTCATCAGCGGAAGCCAGTAATCACCCAGCTGCGGCTCCTTCAACTCCTGAACCAAGAGCACAATCTCTTCGGCCGCGCGACGGACTTCGAGGTAGCAGCGCATCGGTATCGAGGAGGTGTGGTCAGCGTTGGCGGCTTTCTCTGCGTCGAGCTCCCATTTTCGGAGGAGGAGCTTGATATAGAGGTATGCGAGACGGAGGTTGGCTGACCCGGGCATGTCAAGGCTGTCGCCGCCACGGATAATTCGTCTCCGCAGAGGGTTGTCGAGAGAGTCTTCCCACTTTGTCAACAGGACCTCGAGATCCCATGGGCCACTGGTAAATGTCTTTTCGAGATCGTATATGCGCTCTAGGTATTTGTCGAGGAACTGTGCCAGAGAAACGAAGGCGAGGTAAACCGAAGCGGCGTTGAGATCGAGGGTGCTGGCAGCTGGTCCACAGAGCTGGTCCACTGTCGGGAGAGATACATCATGTTGACCACTTCGGAGCTGTGGGGGTGTGCCGTACGCAAGACTCGACCTGCGTATTGTCAGAAAGAATGTTGCCTCAGATCAAGACGACTCACCACTTGTCGTACACAAAGATGGCCCACCAAATCTTTGTCCGTAACAGCTTCTCTGATTCAGGAATGTCCCAGTCGGACGGGTCTCGGTTCAAGCCGAGTGAGTGGGCCAAGGAAATGGCTGATCCCAATTGTAGGCCATTGCCTATGATTGAGGTCAAAGGTCTTCCAGAGATATTGAGGAGAATGCTGAGAAGTGTTGAGATGCCGGGTGACAGATGGATCTCGGAGTAAAGGGCGTCGTTGGCTTGATTCCAGATGAACCTGGTGTCGGGGCGGTGGTGTTCGATGAGAGTCGGCGACTGGGCCCAGTATGTCATTGTGTGAGCATACAGACACGATAGGAGAGCCGGGGCGATATGATTCCTGTCCTCAGCGTAGCGCTTCTCGAATGACCGTCTGTCTAGCAAGGGGAAGCATCTATTGGGCTTCTCAAAGAATCTGGAACGACTGGTCAGAGCGGAGTCCTGTGTTTTGACTGCTGGTGATTACTTACAACTCAATCACATCTGGCAGCAGGGGCTCCAAGAGCTTTTCAATGACTTGGCATTTCAAGAAAGCAGGCGTCCGGTCATTCGGGACGCCAAGAGGTTGCTTTCGAACAGTGGTGAAGACGACAGGCTTGCGACCGCTGCCGCCAGGTTCTTGACGTGGGCTCGTGCCGGATATCCTCGTTCGAATGCCTCGATTGAGTACAGATGAATCATTGGAAAGGTACGTTGACAGGATCTGAGTGTCCTCGATATCCGCCGGTCCGACAATGTGTGCCTCATCCTCGCCGCCCCCGGCGATGGGCTCCACGTAGTGTCGATCACGCGGGGAGCTCGGAGCCAAAGCACCGTCCGGCGACCGTGATACACCTGGAGCCGGAGGCGGTACAGTCGGCAACGGCAGTGTGCTGAGCTGAGAGACAAGAGTGGTCTCCGAGGAAAACGTCGTCTGTGGCGGAGGAGACAAGGCGCGGTGGCCCAGGTCGCTCGACTTGCGGGCTTGAGCGGTCCTCCATGCGCTCTTCGGCCGCGGCGAGGTCCCGGTGGCTGGAGCTGGGGGAAACTCGCAGGATGTGCCGTGGGCACGACATGTAAGACAACTCGTGCCGGTGCGATCCACGTTACACCGGGACTTGCGCTTCCGACAGGCCAAACATGCCGGCCGGAGGTGGGAACGGTAGGGGCGCTCCGAGGGAAAAGGAACTTCGCCAGCCTCGTTCGACATGATTCAGGCTGTCAAAAAGGCTTGAAAAATGATGAAGTTAGGCATTATGGCCAAAGTAAACGGGTTGGCCGTGGACTTGGTCAACATGTTGCCTTATCTGGAGCATCGCTGATGGCGGAGCTGAGTTTCCCGAGGTGAAGCTGCGAGGTTTCCCGAGGGAAAGATGGTGGCTCGTGCACGATGCTTATCTGATTACCATCGGCGATAAGGCGCAAACGCCGATAATAGGTATCGTCTCGCGATTTCCTCCTCCCCCTCCTCTCGACCAACAACCCCCTTGCATTATTTTCAACGGCAGAGTCTCGAATCCCAAACAAGAACGTCTTAATGCTGTCGACTGCCATCTCTCAACTACCAGCAGCCTCTCAATTCCGCAACTCCACTCGTTTCGACAGGCCACAAGGAGCTGGATTCCCGTCGCAGCCATGCCTCCCATCGACGCCTTTGCTCCTAGGAGCTCCCGCTCGCCCGCTCGCTCCAAGATGCACCTTCTGGTCTCTGATGTCGATTGATACTGGGAGCAGCTGCATCATAGGTAGAAACTTTCCTGAAGGACGACGATGAACAAAACGATCGCGGTCACCATTGCAGAGTGCGCAGTCCTCAAAGTTTTCCCATCCAACCAAGAGAACACCAAGCTACGCAGGACAGAAAGAAACGCCAGAAAAGATGCGTCTTCTCGAGTGCGACCAGAAGATTATTGGTGTGAGTTATCCCTCTACCTGCCGAAGCTGATGGCCTTGCTAACACGAAGCCAGTCAACCTTCGGTCAGGATTCAGGATAGGAGTCACTACCAAGGTTACCCATGCTCACACCAACGACCTACGCTGGACTGCATGTTCTCTTGCATGGCCTTACCTCCTGTTGTTCCCGCTGGCGAGCGTATCAGAACCTTTCTGCCGCTCGGTCTAGGCAAGTCCTCAAATCACACATCACTGTCGGCGAAAGCCACGAGCTCGAATCTGGGATTCCGAATATCTTCAAGAGCAAGTTTAGCATTGCTGGCCACGGGACGGCGTTACCGTTCAGTTGGGTGTCCGGTCTCACAATGGTCGCAAAGACCAGGGGCCGACGATGCCACGCATGCGCATGCTAGGAGCTGCGAACACCTCGTGCTCCGTCTCCCGCAGTCCCGATCGAACCTATGACTAGGCAGCCGGGATGGGCCAATATTAGCGGGGAACAATTCAGTTGCCGTCCTGTGGCCTCCCGGCGACTTGCATCGTCGAGTGCATCCAATCCTCGGCCGGAACGCACGTCCTCCCGACGGGCTCGTCAAGGCATTGAAAAGACGTTGCGAACACAGAGGGATGCTCCTGACCTAGAATGAAGCACAAGACGGTATCACAAGATGCGGCGAACTCGCGAACATCGAAGACGTCGAAGACGACGACGTGGTCATTATGTCCACCGTGTGCAAGGCAAGATGTGAGAACCGTCCCCGGTGACTGCCGTCGAAGGCGACAACATTGAAGGGTCGCAACGAAAGGAACTTTTGAACTTCTAGCACCCATGTCTAGAGCCATTTACCGGCTGCAATGAGCGCCGGGGTCTTTGAGATCGTGGTGCGGGATGACCTGGTCGGGCATTCGGTGGAGTTAGGCATTTCCATGACGCTCTGAAACGACTCCAGAAGAGGCACAGTTGTACTGGCGATATTTACAGCCGAGGCTTTATGACCCGTTGCCAACAACAACTGCAAAGCCCCAACGAGCAAACCTCAGGCAATAGACGACACGGCGCGTGAAGCCGGGGTTTGAGCCAATCTCAGCAATTATTCCAGCCTTGGGGGCAAGATCGCAGGGTCGATCACGATTGTTGTGGAACAGCCTAATCATGTGTAGGGGTGCTCTCGAACAGACATTCGCCAGCACCCCGGGAACACAGCCTCTGCACTAGAGACGAACATGATTTAGCAGACGAAAACACGCCAACGAATAGCACAGAATCCTTCAACTCAATGCCGCCCAGTCAGGGGCCATTTGAAATTCTTCAAGGAGGTTGACGCGTCGGAAGCATAACGATTGCATCTTCAGCAGCGTAGCATCCGGCACAACAGGGAAATATGACCGAGATCGGGGATCGCCCGTGACCCACTGCCCCTCGCAGGAGTATCCAGAAGCCGACGGATCGCCGTGGAGCACTGGAGCATACGCTTTCTTTTCTCCCGCAGACCATGCCAACATCAACATCACTTGATGGAGCATGAATCCTGCCTTTTCCCTCCTTGCGGCTGCGTCCGTCTCCGCTGCGAGCAGGCAGGGAGGCGTATGGGACAGTTGTTCGCAGAGTCTCATGACTGACGGAAGCTTACAGGACGAGTCATCGTAGGTGCCACGCCGCCACTGATTGCCATCCACGGTTGAGGATTCCCTGGGGAGACGAGGCCTAGCCAAGGTGTTTGCTGCCGACAGGGTCCATACATGACGGAGGGAAACGTCCAAGAACTTTGAAGTGTTTATTCCAACGCAAGGCCATCAGATGGTGGCTGTTATCCCGCCGGTCGAGACCGACTCAGCAGCAGTGCAGGGCCTGAAGCTTCTGCCCAGCATGTCATGACCGCATACCGCCTCCCCATTGCCCGCGTCTCATCGCCACGATTCAGAAATGCATCCTTCGTTTTCGGCAGACAGCAGCCAAAGGACCCCAGGAATATCTGCCTAGAGTTGCGGCTTAATTCCTGGATGGTGGGATGCAGAAGAAGGGATGTGGGTAGTCTACTTATTGCAACAGTCGCGAGTCAGTCTCGCCCCCAACGAATAGGAACTCAAGCCCGGCGTCCGATCTTTGGCTCCATGGCATGACGACAGGGCAAACCCATGCGCATCTCAAACTCTCCTTCCACGATCATTCTAGAACGTGACGTTTCATGCGAGCTGGACCAAAAAGGCCCCCCGCCCCCTCATCACTCACTCAACCATGGTACTGCCCATCACGTTGTCTCACTGGTTCAACCGATGGTGGCTAACGAACCTAGCGCCTGACAAAGGAGCGCACGGCAAATTCAGTCGCCGAGGAGTTCTGCTCCGTCGACGGGGATGTCGCGGTGGTGGAACCCATTACACAACGCCAGCGCCTCGCGGAGGGAGAAAAAAAGGGGTCGCAAAAACAGGGCAATTATAGGCTTGCGCTGTTGGTCCATGGCATTCTTGGCCATGGTCCGATCATGCAGAAGGAGATCTTAATGTTCAGCCCCCCGGACAATAACTCGCGAAGCCTCTCTCTTCGCCCCTGTTATCACGAATGGAGCCATCCCTCCTCCAGGACGTGTGCCAAGTCGGGACGTTAAAAAGAAAGAGGGGGCCCGCGCCAAGATAGGGCTGCCGCCGCGGCTCGCGATATTAATATCCTGTTTCCTCCTGGGCCTTTGTTTCCTGCCCAGACGGAAAAGAAACAGAAAAAGGCTTGGTATTGATGCCCAGCTCGTGTCTTGGCCGTGGATCGGCTTAGCTTGCCTACCAGCACAGCAACCAACCTCACGACCATGGACGCTGGCCTCGTCTTAGCCGCCAAGGGCGAGGGTGCAACACACAACGTCACGGCCGCATACCTCGCCGAAGACTCAGGCGACACGCTTATCGGTATCTCCATCGCCTTCGCTATCCTCACGACGCTGTTTCTCGGCCTGCGACTGTACGCGAAACGGTTCACAGCGGGCGGGTATGGCGTGGACGACTACTTTCTCGTGGCGGCGTACATCGTCGACCTGGGCATGTGTGCGGTGGGCATAGGTAAAGTTTTCCGGGGACCGTCGTGTGATGGGGCGATGGGGAAAGTATCGCTTGGACTAACTCGTGGGTTTTTTCAGTTATGGTTCGGGTGGGCGGTGTTGGACGACATGTTGAATTCGTCGAAGAGTTTCACCCGGCACTCCTGGTCGGCTGGGCCAAGTGCATTCTGGCCTTCGAGATTGTCTACTTCGCGTCCGTGGCTCTGCCGAAGATGGGAATCGTGTGCCTGTACCTGCGCGTGTTCAACTGGAAGGGCGGAATGCGGACGACTGCGTACATCCTCTTGGCGACGCTCGCGGCGACCAGCTTGTCCTTCATCCTCACGGCGTGTTTCCAGTGCACGCCGCTGCCATTTTGGTGGGATCGGACCATTCCCGGCGGGAAGTGCATCGACGTGCAGGCATTCTTCCACGCGCAGAGCATCCCGGGCTTCGTGTTGGACTTCTTCATCATGGCACTTCCCATGAAGACTATTTGGAGTTTGAAACTCCCCACGCATAAGAGGATAGCGTTGGTCGGAATCTTCATGGTTGGCAGTTTGTGAGTCGTTCTGGACCCTCGGATGAACTTTGACTGACATAGACGCAGCGGTGTTGTCGCGTCAATTATTCGAGCAGTCACCTTCTTTGGCACCGCCGCCTTCACAGACCGCACATGTACGTTCGCCCTCTCACTCAACAACCCCCGCAGACAGAAACGCTGACCATGACCAGGGGCATCCGTCGCACTCGTCGGCTGGAGCATCATCGAGACGGGAACCTACATCATCGCGGCCTGCCTACCGCACCTCCGGCCCATGATCTCGCACTACACGCCGCCATGGCTCAAGTCCATGGTGCGCAAGACGCTCTCGCAGGCCAGCAACTCCATGTCCAAGGTCACGACCTCGAAGCACTCCCACCCTCGCCGCGGCGACGATGAGGTCGAGCTCACGGCGCGGTCGCGAAAGCAGGCCGCCGACGCGGAGAGTGTGACCGGAGACGAAGAGCGCGGGTACGCCGGCATGCAGTCCCCCTCCGGCACGACGGTCGAGGTGCGCAAATCGGACGAGATGGTCAGCGGCGACTGGGCGCGGCAAGGGCAGATCCGCGTGACGACAGAAGTGAAGCTCGAGCGCGTACGGACGTCGGCTTTCTTGAAAGAGTAATGACCTGTGATGATTCAGTGTTGATAGTAATGAGAATCAGTCAAAAGATACGCAGCTTCACGGCATTGTGGAAATTTTGCTGCCAAGGCAGAAACCGTTGTGTCGCTATTAAAATACAGGGCCCATCCCGACCGCCTCGCAATCTTTATCTTGATCATCGAAAAAGTCTACATCTTTGACCGTGCGCCTTTAGCCTCTGCAGGCCCAAGAAGCTCATCCGCGATCCCTCGTCCAGCCGCCCTCCCCGAGAAGATGCAGCCGCCCAAGAAGGTTCCCTCCAAGCTGTTGTACCCATGCACACCACCACCGCCGAACCCAGCAGCTTCACCCGCCGCGTACAAGCCAGGGAACTTCTCCCCATTGGCCTTCATGACGTTGCTCTCCAGGTTCGTCTCGATGCCGCCCAGCGTCTTGCGCGTGAGCAGGTTCATCCGCACCGCAATGAGCGGGCCGTGGGCCTTGTCGAGCAGCTTGTGCGGCACCGCGATGCGGCTCCTCTTGTCCGCCCAGTATGTCCTCCCGTTGTTGATCAGCATCGCCTGCGCGTCCTTGGAGTACGCGTTGTCAAACTGCCCGTCGCGCAGCTCGATCGTCTCGCGGATGTCGTCGAGGTCCAGCACCGGCCCGCCGCGCTCGCGCTGCAGCTCGTTCATGCCCTGCACCAGCTCCGGCAGGTTGTCCCGCACCACAAAGTCCTTGCCGTGCTTCTGGAAGTTCTGCACCGGCACCGTGCCCTTCTTGCCAAACACCCGCGTCAGCAGCTTCCACACGCTCTTCCCCGTCACGTCTGGGTTCTGCTCCGAGCCCGACAGCGCAAACTCGCGCGCGATGATGCTCTGGTCCAGGATGAACCAGCTGTAGTCGTACCCCGTCGCGCAGATGTGCTTCAGCGTCGCGAGCGTGTCGGTACCCGGGAAGAGGAAGGGTGGCAGCCGCTTGCCCGTCGCGTCGAGCCACAGCGAGCTCGGCGCCGGCAGCACGCGGATCCCGTGCGCCGGCCAGATCGGGTCCCAGTTCTGCAGGCCCTCCGTGTAGTGCCACATGCGGTCGCGGTTGATCACGTTCGCGCCGACCTGCTCCGCGATGCCAATCATCCGCCCGTCGACGTGCGCCGGCACGCCGACGACGAAGGTCTCCGGCACCTTGGGCCCGAGCCGGTCGACGGGCCACGCGGCTTTCACGGCGTCGACGTTGCCCCCAATCCCGCCTGAGGTGACGGCGACCGCGGAGCCAAATATCTCAAAGTCGCCAACGACCTCGCGCGAGGATTTGACGCCGCGGGGGGAGTTGTCGGGCGCGAGGACCTTGCCGCGGACGCCGATGGCGCGGCCGGTGGCCTCGTCGGTGATGATCTCGTCAACGCGGTGGCGGAAGCGGAACTGCATGATGCCGTCCTTGGCCGCGCGCTTCACGGGCTCGGCGAAGACGCGGACGACCTCCGGACCGGTGCCCCATGTGACGTGGAAGCGCGGGACGGAGTTGCCGTGGCCCTCGGCCTGGCCGCAGCCGCGCTCGGCCCAGCCGACGTTGAAGAGGAAGCCCATGCCGCGGGCCTTGACGTAGGCCTCCATCTCGTCGGCGGCGAAGTTGACGAAGGCCTCGGCCCAGCGGCGCGGCCAGGTGTCCTCGGTCTCGCGGTCGAACTGGGCGGAGCCGAACCAGTCGCGCATGGCGAGCTCGCGGGAGTCCTTGATGCCCATGCGGCGCTGCTCGGTGGAGTCGACGCAGAAGATGCCGCCGAGGGACCAGAAGGCCTGGCCGCCGAGGTTGGCGTCGTTCTCCTGGTCGAGGATGATGGTGGGGACGCCGCGCTCGGAGAGCTCGAAGGCGGCGACGAGGCCGGCGAGGCCGCCGCCGACGATGAGGACGGGGCGGTCCTGGAGGGCGCGCTGGGTGTCGGGGGACATTGCGGCGAAGTGGGGGCCGGCGGAGGACGGAGACTTGGAGGAGGGCCGCGCCGGGGAGCGGAGGAGGATGTGGCGGACGATGAGCTTGAGGAGCCAGGCGGAGGCGCCCAGGCCGGCGAGCGCTGCGAGGGTTTGGGACGGTGTTTGCGGGAGGGAGGAGGAGAGGAGGGACATGACGGGTGCCATCGCGGCTGGTTGTGGAGAGGTGGCGGTGGGTTGTGTGTCTGTCTTATTGCTGCTGCTGACCCGTGGTCGAATTATCCGTCTGACGGGTCTTGGCTCTCTTCGGCCGTCGAGCTGGATTGAGCTGTCAGCACCGAGTGACGCTGTGCCGCGATGGTGCTCTGGTGGAGGTTGTGGTGGGATGGATGGATGGGTTGGAGAGAGTGCGGGGAAGAGGAGACGACGGATTGACCAGAAAGCAAGTGCAGACAGCGAGACTGGCGTCTGGCTGCTTTTGGAGGATCCGGGCGCTTGGCGTCGCGGGCGGCGAAAAGAGGCGAGAAATGTGAGAAAGGTGAGATGAGGTACGAGGCGCAGGGGAGGGAGGTCCGCGGAAGGCCGATCTGCGACGCCGTCTGTTCCGGCGCGTGGGGAGCTCGGGGAGTTTATTCCTCTCTTCCTGTTATCTACGGCATAGAGGGATGCCTTTTATTAATACGAGGAGCAACGATGGGTACTTCCCTGTTGTTGCATCTGACAGGCGATGTGCTTGTGAAGATGGTGGATGATCAGGAAGCAGAGGCTCTCCATGACAGCTCTCGGTCGGCCGAACAAAAGAAGAAGCTCTGGCATCCGGAATCTGGGAAAACGCAGCTAAAAACGGCGAGCTGCAGGGGCCAAAGGTGTTCCATGCTGCATCGAGTCAGTTCAGGGTCCCTGTTCTCCCCCAAATTTCCCCATGTCTTTTCGCGTTTCTTCATTGTGCGGGGAACCTTTCATCGTCCGAGGACCCCGGACATGCCTCGGCTTGGTCCCAGTGGCATGACACTCTCGCCATCTTCACAATCTGTAAGCATATTTCACATGGTCACATCGAACAACAAACTCATCAACCACGGTTTCATTCCGTTAATGCGACATAACCCAGGTCATCTTACTCTTGCACCTTGACCACGACCTTGCCAAAGTGGCCGCCGCTGTACAGGTACCGCAACGCCTCGTCCGCCTCCCCAAACGCAAACACGCGGTCGACAACCGGCTTGATGCCCTTGTCCTCGTAGAACGCCACCATCTCCTCGAACCGCTCCCGCGGGCCGTTGATCAGGCCCTTGAGAGTCACCGTCTTGCGCAGCGCCAGCAGGTTGACGTTGGTCCGGTCCTCCTCCGAGTCCACCTTGCCCGAGAGGTACCCGATGCACGCGATCGTCCCGCCGAACCCGATCGCCTCGAACGACCGCCGCAGCGTCTTGGCCCCGCCCGTCTCGAGGATGATGTCCGCGCCCTCGCCGTTCGTGACGGAGTTGACTGTCTCGTCCCAGTTGGGCTGCGTGCGGTAGTTGACCGTGTAGTCCGCGCCGAGGGCCTTGGCCTTTTCGAGCTTCGCGTCCGAGGAGGACGTGATGAGGACTTGAATCATCAAAATCAGCCTCTTCTCACAATCTCATGACATTATAAACATACCTTTCGCCCCGGCCGCCTTGGCAATCTGCAACCCGGAGATAGCAACGCCCCCAGTCCCCTGACACACCACCACCTCCCCCTCACCTCCCGGCTGTCCCTGCGGTCGGAACTGGTTAATCGCCATCCACGCCGTCACCGCCGCAATCGGCAGACACGCCGCCTCCTCGTCGCTGAGATGCTTCGGCGCGCGCACCAGGCCCGTCGCGGGGAACACGCGGTACGTCTGCAGCACGCCCTCCAACGGGAACCCCAGCCCAGACTTCATGTCGGCGGCCTTGATCTGGCCCGCGAGGTGCGTCTGGTTGAAGATGGACACGACGCGGTCGCCGACGGTCCAGCCGCTCACGTCCGGGCCCACGGCGGCGATGGAGCCGCACATGTCGGACGCCGGGACGAGCGGCTCCGTGGCTTCGGGGTTGATTGTCTTGTGGTGGCTGTAGAGCCCCATGGCGACCTCGGTGTCGCGGTAGTTGAAGCTGACGGCGTTGATCTTGACGAGCACCTCGTTGGGCCCCGGGGAGGGGAGGGGGGCTGTTGCGCGGAAGAGGTTGGCGAGGCCATCTTGGCGGGTTTGCCAGCGCTGGACTTCGGTAGGGGCCATCTTGGTTGCTGGTGATGTGAGATGAGTGAGAGTGTTGCGAAACGTTTGTGAGGAACAGCCTTCTTTCGTGAGAAATCGTTGTCGCCGGGCCTGGATTTATGACGCACGTATTAGAAATCAGATCCGGCTTGTCTCCGCTGGCTGGTGGACTGCGGTGTGGACCGGGCGGGGATCCCGGCGATGTTCGATGTGTTTCTTGAACCCGGGGGCGGCACCGAGTCAATTGTGCCGGACATCTTCGGCGTTCCGGGATCATTCACCGAGACATGATGTGATCTTTACGGTAGCTGTTCACCCACGCCGGTCAGCTATGTTGATGAGCGTTCATTACCGTGCGCTAAGTCTCGTCAAACCAGCAGTCGATATCCTCCGATTTGTTGGAGGACACACGGCAGAGAGCCCAGACCAAGACGTTTGTGTCCGATCATCTATTGGACCATCATTTCCTGTTCATTACAAATAACGTCGTCGTTGGATGAGCGAAAACGGGCCAACGGGCCAAAGCCAGCCAACGCTCTACATCATCGCCACCCGAGCATGCTTCTCTGCACAGAAGGCCGCAACGCTTCTTCAATCTGTCAGAGCTCCTTGAAGATATTTCCCGTGCGCGGGATTGACCACAACCGCCGGTGAAGCAGAGCCAGTACGTGACCTGCGGCGCAACGTGGTGTCTAGTAATCGCGGCCTGTGGATCAGACGAAGCATGTGCCCTCAACAAAGCTTGATCAAGCACATGTGTGACACACCAAATCACAACATGAGAGCCTTTTCTGTCGCAAGTGGAGGGCTGCATTTCAAAACAACTCGTCACAAATCGCAGCCATATTGCTATTTCATCTGGAGCTGAAGATGACCTAAGTTGTGTTTACAAAAAAAAAAAAAATAATGAATCTAATGAACGCCGACGAGCTCCAATCTGAGTGGCTCATTGCTATGACCATCGTCCGACCTTTCCAGATTACACATCGCCCCCCTCCCGCCAGAAACAACCTGAACATGCATCTCCCAACCCCTTCCCCCGATGCTGCAAACAATTTCCCACGAAAAATGCCATATGTCCGAGTGTTTGCATCAGCTACAGCGCACAGAGCCACTCACTCTTGCTGTCCATTTTCACAGCGTTTCCGTTTACGCCTTGGGGCTCACGTCAATCATCCTCCGCCGGATCTCGACCGTCGCCTTGGCGTCGGTCTCATTGGTCAGGCCGAAGGTTGTTGTCTTCGGCTTGTAGTCACCGCCCGTCAGGCGCCAGTCGTACTTCATGATGAGGTGGCAGAGGATAATCTTGATCTCGTTGGCGGCGAAGAAGCGGCCGGGGCAAGCGTGCTGATGTATGTTAGCCATTTGCAATGCGAGATGAGTTACTAGAGAAGCAACTTACCTGGCCGTGGCCGAAACCGAGATGCTCGGGCGATGTGGACACGAAATGGGCGGCGCCGTCGTTGCCGGCTCCGAGCCTCTCGCGCAGGCGGAGGTAGCGGTAGGCGTCGAAGCGCTGGGGATCCGGGTAGACTTGCGAGCTCCACATTTGCTGGCAGCTGACGGTGATGCGCGCGCCAACGGGGAGCTCGAGGCCGTTAGAGAGGGTGACGGGCTTGGTGGCTTCGCGGTGCATGGCGGCTGTACACAGTGTTAGCGCAAGTCATGTAACAAGAGATCGGAGATGAACTCACCCATGCTGATGGGGTTGATGCGCTGGACCTCCTTGAGGAACGAATCAAGAACCTTCATCTTGTACAGGCCCATCTTGTTCCATCCATCGGTGCGGATCACATCGCCGATCTCCTTGCGGAGAACGTCGAAGTACTCGGGGTTGCGGGCAAGATCAATCATGGACTGCGTAACAACATCGGCGGTGGTGTGAATAGCGGCAAACGAAAGCCCAAGCATCGGGACGGCAGGGTCGGCGATGGGCTCCTCGGACGCCTCCTCGCACCACTCGAGACAGTCGTTGTACTCGGGCTCGTCCTCGCCGGCGTCCTCGGCGGCCTTCTTGGCCTGGCGGCGCTTCGCCACGATGGGGTTGATGATGCGGCGCGCGTCGTTCATCTGGCCCTGCAGCTTCCAGCTGAAGGGGTTGAGCTGGTGGACGACAAAGCGGATGGACTTGGGGAAGATGCGCAGCAGCTCGGACGCGAAGAAGGCGGTGCGCGCGTACTCGGAGGTGATCTTGAGCCACTTGTCGTTGCGGGCGAGCTCCTCGCCGCCGAAGATGCGGGTTGAGACGCGGGCGACGATCTTGACCATGTTTTGCTTGACGACGAGGGGCTTCCATTCTGTTTTCCGAGTCAGGGCTGTGTGAACGCTGTGCATCAAAACGTGCTACAACATACCTTGGTCATCGCCGACGATGTCGTTGAGGGCCTTTGTTGTCTCATCAGTCATCGGGACCGTCAACTTGGCTGGTCTCAAAGTTAGCCCAGGTCTTTGCGGACGTGAGATGTCTGTCTTACCGAGGAACTGGGTGAGTCTCGTTCGGATGACGTGCTTCAGCGCCGGCTTGTACGGGTTCTTCTCCCTCAGCGGCTCGAAACCGGGGAGGTATGCATGGAAATTCTACACCAGAATGTGAGCATTCCCATCTCCAAAAACTCCTCTTCTCCGGAAAGACCAACCTTGTCGAGCACACGGTCGAAGCTGAGGTCGTCGTGGTTGCGAATCTCGTTGGCGTACGGAATCGGCGGCAGGATCGTCAACTCGCCAGTCTCGGTGTTGACCTGGTACGGCTCGTCGGGCTTCTGCCTCGCCCTCCAAATCATGACGGCGCGGCCAAAGACGGCGAAATCATATTTGACCTTCAATCCTGTGAAATCCCACCTGGGCTTCGGTGCCAGCATCGGCGCATTTGACGCGATCGACGGCTTCTCCTGCTGGACGGAGAAGTAGAAGATGAAGAGGAGGAATGCTGTGATGAAGTACGGCACCGGCTTCTCGAGCGGGCCCGGGATGGCCTGGAGGGTGTCGAGAGGACCCCATGATTGAGAGTAGAGAGATTCGTTGGCGGTAGCCATGATTCCGATCAGGATGGTTTCGCCTGTCGAATGTTGGTGGTGTGGACAAGGCTTCCCTCTGCAAGGGGGAGTAATGGAAAAGAGAAAGGTACCCACACACTCAAAGGAAAGAAAAATAGAGGCACAACTATTTTGGTCTAGAACAGAAGTTGGAAACAAAAAGACGCCAACGGTCAAGGGAAAACAAACGATGGGGAAGCTCGAAGAAAAGGGAAGACCGAGGTGGACAGCGCGTCGGAACGGGCAGACCTGGACGGACGCATCTTGGCAATGTCGGCGAAACGCCAATCGACGCAAAAATGAGCTCGAGAGCTTCTTGGAGGCTAGCAGACAGACAGAGAGCCCTTTCCGCCTCTCTCCGTCACTGTCACTCTCTGCTACTGGGACCGGCGTGCGGCCTGCTGGGCGTTGACAGCTGGATGGACGGTGTTTGGTTTCAAGGAAGACGCAGCCGCACAGTCCGCCAAGGTCCTGTCGTTTGTGCTGTCTCGGCGCATGGACCGCATCCTCGGATGATCTCAGCGCCGATCGTGAGAGGAAAGGCAGCAGCAGCAGCAGTAGCAGCAGCTGTGTGAGTGAATGCGAGAGAGATGCACGACGGAAAGTTGGGAAGAGCCGTTGCAGGGATGGGTATGTGGGTGGGCGAGAGAGTGGTGGTGCGCAGGGCACGGGGGGCGCGACTTGACAGAGGCGCCCAGAAGGAGGAACGGGTTGCTTATTCGAGGCCCTTCGGAAGGAAAAACAGACTGATCCCCTCCCCCCAAGTGCAGCAGTGCTTCGCCGCAGCAGCGAGAACGATTGTGCTGTAAGGGGAAAACCTTCGTGGGGGGTCGAGCGGCTGCAGGATTTGGGTCGCGCCACGGACGTCACGGAGATGTGTTGGGAGGAGTCCGGAGTCAGTTCCGGAGACGTGCGGAGAACCCACACGGCCGGGCGTCCGCAGCCGATGATTGAGTGAAGTCCATTTTAGGTGCCACGATATAACTTTGCGGAATTTCCAGCAGGGCACGAGAACAAACCTGAGATTTCATTCAAACTATCGACTGTTCTCTTCTACAGTCACGGGGAGAGACCAGACCCGTAACACACCTCGACATTGCGCTTGCGCGACCTGCACTAACACCGTTCGTTTTCCTCGTTCAGCTGGAGGATGTGAAAGTGGCGTGGCACGTTGTCGGGGGGCTGAGTAACGGAGGAGCAGACGGCCGAGTCATGGCAGGGCAGCTTGGAGGGTGCACACAAATGAACAAGGAACGATGTTGTTCTGGATCGATGCTGATGATCTCTGTATCAGAAGCCCTCAGGTAAACATCTCTTTCGTCTTTTCCTTCTTCTCGGCATCGAACAACCGTTCCAACGTCTATGTGAAACATGAATTGTTCGTCCTGTTTCATTGGCGGAACACAGAAAGAAACGGTCGGTGGCTGAAACATGCATGACCTTCTGCACCAATGAGCGAGAGGCACGATGAAAAACAGGCAATGGTTTCCCTCTCCAGTCGGTCCATCTTCAGACCTGGAATGAAGAGGCCTTTTTTCCAATAGAGTGAGTCCAAGCCAGACGGGACGGAACGTTGGTTTGAGTTTGCGAGGCTGATCTCGACGTATGAACACCCTCACAGTGCGAGGAGATACGTATCTTCCGGCTGCCGGTCGGTAACGTTTCTGCCTGCACGTGGGTTAGGTGCAACGGCTTTGCTAAGAGTTTAGATATGCTTCCCGAGACAACTTCAGCTGAGTTTGGGGGGTTATCGCCGTTGCTGGGATATTCATAGCTCACTGGGCGACAGACAGTCCGGGACCCCCAGCAATGACCTAATCGACCGAGGATGTTCTGCCCTCCATACCGAGTGCGACACAGGTGGTGGTGTCCCGTGCCTGGTCAGGGCCGATACGGCTTCGGCCAATGGTGTGATGCTTCGAGGCTCTTTTTGGATAATTGCTAGAAGTTTCCCAAGGTAGCTGTATGTACACTCTACGTCCTCGTAAATATTGCTATAGAATGGATAGGAGGAAAATGGAACGACACAGAAGTAAGGTTTGCTGCTCCAAAGTTGTAGCCCACGGCAGGCAATCGCTTTGACGAACAGAAGATGGCGTATGAGAAATCACTGCCCTGCTGGAAGAAACTCTGGAACTCGCGATCTAAAATCAGTGACAAATAGTAAGAAAGACAGAAATGGTTCGGGTTTAACTGATACCGGGCCTGGCCTCAAGAGACTCAGCAGCGCGTTCAACAGAAAGAATGCGTCATAGATAATCCAAAGGCAAAATGTCTAATTGATTTATGTACGAATTTGCTCGAATAAAACCCGCGATAAACAAGGTACGAAGTGAAAGGAAGTAAATGGGGTCATGTCGCGTAAACACGAACACGCCTCTCAGTGACACGCAGTGCTCACCAAGGAGACTTCGGACTCGTGAACAGCATTCGCTCAGCAAGCGTTTTAATGATCAAGCCCTTTAACTAGTCTTGAAAGACAGAGAACCACTCCCAGAAAAGCCCTCAAGGGTGAGCATCTGGAACACAGGAGCTCCAGGCTTGAGGCCAAGAGACTTCCAGCCGCTGAAGTGCTTAGCGACATTGATCGTACCGCCGGTGGTGCGCTGAGCGCGGCGGACAGACCAGTACTGGTGGAACGAGGTGGCACCGTAGATCTCGGGGACGTTGGAGTAGTACAGGTCGTAAACATCGTATGTACCGCTGTCGCTGGTCACTGTGCCGACTGGCTTGCCGTTGCCAGGGGTGCCGGAGCCGTGGGCGTCGACAACGTACCACTCGGTCACGGGGTTGGTGGTCCAGCCATAGGCTGCCAGGGTCCAGTCGCCGCTGGCCTTGAAAGAGCCGGAGTACGTGAGAGAACTGTGGTACAGCGTGATCAGTCTTTTGAAGAAAGAACCGGAACATGCCAGTGTTTGAGCACTTACCGAGGGGTAGTAGACCTGTAACCCTTGCCGGCCAGGAACTCGGCCTTGCAAGTCCAGTCGAGTCCCCACGCGCCGCTGTTGTCGTCGCTGGTGTACTTGACAGTGGCGCCGTTGGGGCTGTAGACCGAGTAGTAGAACCCTCCGGCGTTGACGCCGTCCTTGCTCGAGGTGAGAGTGGTAGTGCCACGCTTCTCGATGTTGAATCCATCCTCCTCAGCGGTCGAGTTAATCATGTCGTGGATAGCCTGGAAGAACTCGGGGGAACGGGAGCGCAGGCCCACAGAGGCGACCTGCTCTGCCGACGCAGGTGCGGCCAAGGCGCCGCCGGCGGCGAGAGTCAAGAAGGCGAGGTTCAAGAGCTTCATGGCGGCAAGTAAACGAGTGTGAAGTAAAAGAGCGGATGGGAAAGTGATTGCTGAGTGTGCTGCTAACATTAGGTCAACAGCATGCAAAGGGCTTCTTATATAGATCGTGAAGTTTTGTTTGCTCGTACCTCGGACTCCATCACTTCAGTTGATACGAAAATGGGAACCAAAGATTGAACCGCTGCGACAGGGTAATTTGCGCCATCGCATGTTGCAATGTGCCAATTAGATGAATGATGGCCAAAGCAGTAATCCGGACCGTTGGGCCCATGAGCTCTGCAAATATCGGGAAAGCTCCGAGACCCCTGCCGTGTGTGGTTCGTGATATGGCGCTTGCTATCAAAACAAGCTTTCGCTTCAGGCTGGGGGTTCTTGTCATTTCCAATGCCAAGCATCTCTGGAAACGCTCACTAAGGTGATTTGGACCAAAAGGAAGAAAGTCGCATGGTTGGCATTCTTGTGGCCAACGGCAACGTCACGAACACTTCTAGCCCCAAGCTCTTCCTTGCCTAGACATTTAATCGACAACATGACGAAACCTAACACGGCCTCTTCCAAGGATATTCCTCTCCTAACAGAACGCAAGCCGCCGGTAATCGGTCTCCTCCTTGGTTTCTTAGAGATTAACGGGGATCGTTTGTGGAGATGGCCTGTAGCCACAAGGGATGCGAGGAGCTCGCGATGTTCGGTGTCGGTCTTGAGTAGAGCAATCTTTTCACAGGACAAATAATCACGTGTGACAGCCGGATAAAGTTCTCCTCGGAATCGGTGAGGTGATAATCTTGGTGGCACAAACACTGACATTGGTAATTCAGCGCCGCTGGGTGAAATGAATGTTGAATTCATACACCTGGGCGCCCATAGCTTAAAGTGAATTTACAAAATGAGAGACACCGTCAGAAGTCGTCTGTCTTCCCATATTGGAAGGCTACACCAAACATGAATGCTTACAGCTTTGGCCATTGAACGCGATCAGCCTTGCCGCAGATCGCCTCGCCCTTCTGCTGCATACCATATTGCTTCGCCCAACTGTCCATGTCCACCCAGCCTCCATACCAGCCCCCGCAATTTTTATTGATGTAATCAAGGAATTCGTCGAACTCGCCACCACTACATGGGTTGTTTCCTCCCCACGAGCATGCAAACGCGACTTGCTTGCCACTTACGGCGTACTGAAGACCACCGCCAGGAATGACAGCTCCGCCGTCGCAAAAGTTCTTGAAGTTGGTTCTGACATTCTCCCAGTCGCCTTGGTTTACGGATTCGCGGTAGCAGCCAAACCTCGTGATTGGCATGTCTCGGCGGGTTGGCCCAATTCGAGGCAGGAATTCGGTGACGACGGGAACTTTGATGTCGTCGATTCGAGTGACATTAACGAGACCACCTTCACTGAAAGATGCAGTGAAAATGCCGTCGCCCAAGTCATCAATCTTGTAACCGTCGTTACGTGGCATCGTGATCGAGGCTCCCATTACGAGAGCAACAGTGGCTCCTGACAGCAGAAAGAACGCGGTCTGCATGTTGAGGTGTAGAATTGATCAATAGGTTTCAGGGGAGAATCAAAGGTATGTTGCAGTGCCTTTAGTCTTATATTTAATGAACGTGAACACCTGCAAAAGAGGGGTATTTGAGGCAGTCTTTATTGGTCTATTTATATTTGAACACTTGGGTCTTGTTGTTTGACCTCGCTTACGAATGAGGTTGCTAA